GCGGCGCTGGGCAGGCGGCTGGCGAGGGAGCTCTTCCCCTGAGCGGTCTGCTCAGCTCCCTCGCGCGCCGCAAAGTGAGGCTGGGAGCCGGAAGATGACGTCATATTCCGGTTCCCAGCCTCACTCTGCGGCGCGCGAGGGAGCTGAGCGCACCGCTCAGGGGAAGAGCTCCCTCGCCAGCCGCCTGCCCAGCGTCGTCCGCCCGCTCGGGCATGTCAGTTAGCCGCGAGGCTAACAAAGCATTTGCCTGGGCATTTGGGGGGCGGCGTTTTTTGCCGCCCCCTGAAAAATGCCGCCCAAGGCAAATGCCTTGTTTGCCTCGCGGCTAAAACGCCCCTGCCTGGAGCTACGGGCTAGAGTTCCCTCTAACCACTGGGATCACCAGGGAATCCCCACGGACCACCAGGGATCGAAAAATGTATGTTTATGTTTATGTTTATTTTATTAGATTTAAAAAAAAAAAAAACATTATTAAAAAGCCTCCCAACCCTCCTTCCCCCCCATGCATACACTGTTCCACACACACTGCCCAACACACACAGCCCCCCATACACACATTGCCCCACAGACACATACAGTGCCCCACACACACTGCTGCCCCCCACACACACACGACCCTCCATACACACACTGCCCCACACATACATACAGTAGTGGAATCACACAAAAATGGGAATGGGAATGTGCAATTCATCAAAGTGTCACCAACACGTTTCCTTCAAATTTTTAGCGTATTTCATCAGCCCAGAAGCAAAGAGATGTGTACTCTGCACTTGTAATGGACAGTTTGTATCTGAATTAAATACTTGAGCTAAGTGCCTAAAGAATTATTTTATTATCATCCCAGTTTCTCTGCAGCTCACAAATGTATTGTCAAAGAACTTATAATGTGAAAAAACTATAATAGAAAATTAAAGAGTTGCTCCAAGTCAGTGAATTGAAGTGGTCATGGTGCCCGGAGTCTTTATGTACAGTGGCGTTCTGGGCTGGCTAATGTCAATTCTGTGCCAATTATCATGCACAGTTCATTCATTGGCTAAGTGCAGTCAGTTGACGCTGTGGTGCAGACTCCAGAAGCACATCACCAGAGCTATAAGGAGTCTCAAATCCTGGTTGGAACCCAAGTATGAAGCTACCCACTTACAAAATGACTTGCACCATTACCGCAATACTGGGCCAGGGTACTACTCACATCATGATGATTGGAGTAACCCTTTAACCTCTTCTAATAATGTGTTTGCAGCAGAGGTCATATCAACACCCAACTACTTCTGTCCAATAAAAAGATATCAGAACTCTGGCAGTCATGTCTTTGCAATAACTTGGTAGTGAAGGGGTTAACAATAAATATCTCTTTCTCTAAAAAAAAAATTCTTCTAAAGCCCAGCAAAGGATCAGATCGATGGGATCCTTCACTTGGCTTTCTGAATGTCATATTTTCTAAATGTGACAGGCTGGTAGGGAAACTTATTTTTTTATAACGGCTTGGCACATGTGGTTTTCTATACATTTAAAAGCTTGATACTGCAGATATTAATTTTCCAGGAAATAATGTAGTTCAAGGTCTCCCATGGTGCATTACACAGGCCACCACTTGCTATAATGATAAACTGATTATATGTGGTTGGCCCTGCTTGACTCAGGTCCTGCAGTAGATGAATGAGAGGACTGTGAATAGGGTCATCTGGATGCATAACTGTGATGCTTAACAGCAGGATTCCCCCCGGCATCCTGAATCTCTTAGAAAGGATATATGGTGAGATATTAACTAAATAATACAAAAAGTGAGCGCGTACAAATTTATGGAGTAGTCTACAAGAAGAAGATGGCATAGATAAACATTGCAGAGAGGGGATTTTTATCAGTTCTTTAAATTTCATTATTTTGATAATTCACTAACACAAAAATATGTAATACCTTATAATGTACATCTAATCCCCTGCCTTTGCTCAGGAATCTCTGAAATTATGGATGGACTGATTGACTGACTGGTTGAAAAGATACTAAATTCTGTAAAAAACAAACAAAAAAAACAAAACCTAATATATTAATGGGAGCTGCAAATAAATGCATAGAAAATGTAAACCAATGTGGCAAAGAATTTTTGTATTGTGCTGCCTTAATATTAAAAAGGAAATATTAGGACCTAAAGATTTTATTTTCTCCAGAAAATTTCTACTTCTGACCCATAACACCCTCTGTTTTTTTAATGTATTGAAACTTCTAAAATAGCTCTCCGTTCTTTACACAAATCAGAAGTATACTCGCAAGTGCTAAGTCATGATAGAAAAAAAAAAAAGAATCTCGGTAAGTCTATCACATTTAGAAAATCTGACATTTCGAAAGCCAAGAGTTGGAGTATATATATGTATATGTGTGTGGATTGGATTAGTCCAGTAGACAAGATGCCAAAATACCAAAGTATTGCAGTATGCAATGATACCATTTTTATTGGACAAACATAATATTTCAAAGACAAGCGTTCAGAGTTTTCTTCTCTTCCTCAGGTCTTAAGCAATACTGATCAATCTGATAGTTTAAAGGGACACTATAGTCACCAGAACAACTACAGCTTATTGAATTTGTTCTGGTGTATAGAATCATTACCTTCAGGCTTTTTGCTGTAAACACTGTCTTTTCAGAGAAAATGCAGTGTTTACATTACATCCTAGTGATAACTTCACTGGCCAATCCTCAGATGTCCTGGGTCATGGCTGCCTTAAATGCATCCAAATATCCAGTATCTCCTCCCTCTGCATCCAGACACGGAAATTTCCTCATAGAGATGCATTGATTCAATTCATCTCAATGAGGAGATGCTGATTGGCCAGGGCTGTGTTTGAATCATGCTGGCTCTGCCCCTGATCTGCCTCTGTCAGTCTCAGCCAATCCTAAGGGGAAGCATTGTGATTGGATCAGGCTACCACTTCTGATGATGTCAGAAGTCTGCTTGTTTTTTTTTTAGGCAAACAGCATGCAGAATTACAGCTTCAGGCTTGAATACAGTAAGATTTTGCTATATTTATGGAGGCATGAGGGGCCCAGGGGGGCTAGATGGTGGTTTTAACACTATAGGGTCAGGAATACAAGTTTGTGTTCCTGACCCTATAGTGATCCTTTAATTCTTAAAACAACTGATGTTAGAGAAGGGGGTGAGTGGGGTGTCATAAATAGCAGAAGATGTGCCTGAAAGTGAAAGGTGCAGATTGGCTGAGAATAGCAAGAAACAGTAAATAAAGAGGAGAGTATTAACCTCTTAGTGATCAGACTGTTTTTCAAGTTTCGTACCGTTCAGGATAATTTTTACTTAGTATTAGTATTAGTATTTGGCTGAAAGACCAATTTAGGTCTTTCAGCCTTTTGGAAGATCGCTCCCTAATACTGCGGCTGCAATAGAACATACGAAGTCCCGAAATTCCGAAATTCTGAAGGTCCGAATTTCCGAAGTCCTGAATTGCCGAAGTCCCGAATTTCAGAATGCCGAGCTGAGCCGAGTCGAACCCAAATTTTTCCCCATGCACATCCCTAATGTATGCTCTATTATCTAACAATTGTATACTGATGTGCAACCCAACCCATGCAGCTACTGTAAGCCTCCCCTTCTTCATTGACCCATACTTTCCTGTCTGTGCTGAGGAATGCATAAACAGAGGCTTCTCATCGAGAAACCTTGCAGGACAGCAGCGCATGTAAGCTTCCATCCAATCACAGACCAGCACAGCTCATTGAGAAGTCGTTCAAAGGCAGATGTTCTCTGTAAGCGCCTGTCCCTTGAGTTTAGCTCCACAGAGCTAAACTAGCAGGAAGAAACACTTTCTGACTGATTGCCAAACACTGAAGAGTAACAGGGTTTATTTATCAAAGTGACAATTTCTACTGAAATCGCTACATTTAGAAAATGAAGAAAATGAAGAAAAGGACACATTCTTCACACATAAAGCACTTCAACGAGCTGAGTGCTCACTTTGAGTGCTGTATTTGGAGTATTTGGAGTGTTTAATGGCAGCACTGCAATAAATACTCCGCATCACCCTCTTTATCATTATCTATAGGCAGACAGTAGCAATGCTTTAACGGAGGTTAAAAGTTTACCTTAAACTAAAACAGCATCTTTATTCTACAAATATACAAAATCAATCACGTTTACAGTATACACGTGTAAAAGCACTTGAACTGCCTTGTATGTCAAGCTAACAGTTCTGCATGTGCGTCTGTAAATGGACACACAAAGCGATTCCCGTGGTTTCATTGCCAAAAGGTTAATTCGCTGCTTGTCTTAAAGAGGCCTATTAAAAGCAAGCATCAAAAAGAGTTACGATAAAGACAAAATGGCAGTACACAGAATATACACATCCAATGCCGCAAATGGTGCCATTTACAATGTAAATGTATTTTTAGATATTATGTAGCTCAGATAGGATAGTTCTCTGGAAACTGAGAAAGTGGAATCTAGTTGTGTCAGATTTATATTGTGTTTGTAGGAATTTTAATGAGCACGGTTTTCTTTGCATTGCAAGCAGATTAATCAAACATGGCAGATTTATTTTCCATTTTTTAATTGATTTTATAGATCTATATAGTTACAAATTTTTGTAGGTAGAATGATGCATTTTTAGAAATACACACCACCTACGTATGTTTTGCTGTCAAACATTTCCAATCTATAATTGTAAAGTGCTACAGAATATGTTGGCGTTAAATGCTAATACCAAAACGTAGAATAACCCAGTCTATTCGTACAAACCACACTGGTCTCATCTTCTTTCTCTCACTAATCGCAAACTCTGAATCCCCTCTCCTCTTTATACAGTGCACACAATCATCTTTATGTTAACTATCTTACAGCCAGTCAGTTCACACAAGTTTTTCCATGACATCTGCACAACATTTTAGAGCAAGAGGAGTGAAACCTCGGTGCCTCTCTCCACAACACCACTAGCCTCAGTGCCTCTCTCCACACCACTAGTCTCAGTGCATCTCTCCACAACACCACTAGCCTCAGTGCCTCTCTCCACAACACCACTAGCCTCAGTGCCTCTCTTCACAACACCACTAGCCTCAGTGCCTCTCTCCACAACACCACTAGCCTCAGTGCCTCTCTCCACACCACTAGCCTCAGTGCCTCTCTCCACAACACCACTAGCCTCAGTGCCTCTCTCCACACCACCACTAGCCTCAGTGCCTCTCTCCACACCACTAGTCTCAGTGCCTCTCTCCACAACACCACTAGCCTCAGTGCCTCTCTCCACAACACCACTAGCCTCAATGCCTCTCTCTACAACACCACTAGCCTCAGTGCCTCTCTCTACAACACCACTAGTCTCAGTGCCTCTCTCCACAACACCACTAGTCTCAGTGCCTCTCTCCACAACACCACTAGCCTCAGTGCCGCTGTCCACAACACCACTAGCCTCAGTGCCTCTCTCCACAACACCACTAGCCTCAGTGCCTCTCTCCACAACACCACTAGCCTCAGTGCCTCTCTCCACAACACCACTAGCCTCAGTGCCTCTCTCCACAACACCACTAGCCTCAGTGCCTCTCTCCACAATACCACTAGCCTCAGTGCCTCTCTCCACAATACCACTAGCCTCAGTGCCTCTCTCCACAACACCACTAGCCTCAGTGCCTTTCTCCACAACACCACTAGCCTCAGTGCCTCTCTCCACAACACCATTACACTCTGAAAGTGCAGAAAATGAATTATGTAGAGCAACAGACTGTGCAAAATGCCTTTTATCCACAACTCTAAGTCTACCAGATCCTACAGTAATCCATCTGTCATTCCTAGTATGTCTCTGCGGCAGTGGCTTTGCAGTAGTTCCAGTCTGAGTTTGTTCACCAGATAATTTACAAATCTCAGACTTCAAAAATACAATCTCCTGCCGCAAGATAGAGAACTGTCTACAGATTAGACAATAACCAAACCTCCCAAAAGTGGAACGTGAAACAAATGCATAGCAACTATTACACTGAACTAAGTCTGCCATTCCAATGAGGAGAATAATTTAAATCTAACAAATCTTAACTTTTTATTTATCCTCCTGAATACCTCAGATTACCTCCAGTTTATCTCCAGAATATCTCCAACTACACACTTAGAAACAGCACTCTCCAGAATATCTCCAACTACACACTTAGAAGCAACACTCTCCAGAATGTCTCCAACCACACACTTAGAAGTAACACTTAGATGAAGCAACCAAGCTATATTAGCCAAGCTAATGATAACAACCTTTATATAAAACTCCTAAAATCACCACCCACTAGGAATGTTTAACACCTGGGTAGGCCCCTGCTTATTTGCAAACAATAGCTAATTTAAACAGCAATCAATAGCAAGTAATCTAATCAAATGCCTTATAATTACCAACAGGAATTCAAACCTTGTGCAATCAGTAACCTTTTCCTACAGATGAATCTTACCTGTAACAGTAGGAAAGAAAGCTCTTAGCACAACTCTTAGACAGTTGAAGCTTCTGTAAAACTCTCCAGAATATCTCCAACTACACACTTAGAAACAGCACTTAGAAGTAGCAACAAGCTATATTAGACAAGCTAATGGAACCAGGCCTTATATAACTCCTAAAATCACCGCCCACTAGGAATGTTTAACACCTGGGTAGGCCTCTGCTTATTTGCAAACAATAGATAATTAACCAGCAATCAACAGCAAGTAACTAGCTTAATCAAATCAAATGCCTTATAATTACCAACAGGAATTCAAACCTTGTGCAATAAGTAACCTTTTCCTACAGATGAAACTTACCAACAGGAATTCAAACTTGTAAGCCCTCCCCTTCTAACCCCGCCCAGAATTTATATGGCTGTCCAATTCCAGATTTTCTAATGCAGTCTTTGCAAGGCAGCTGCTCTGGGAAATGGCTGTTTCATGAGTTTCCACTTTGCAAACCAAATCAAGAAGTAATAGGTCTACTTGAAAGCCATGGGGTGTAACCAGGTTAATTTTATAAAAGTGTCAATTTCTATTGAAATCTGCACGTTTTGCAAAAATGAGAAAAATAGGACACACATACTTTAGGGGTCTGGAATAGGGCCGCCATCAGGGCCCGACGGTACTGGAGAGCTCAGACTGCTCTGGGAGTTCAGGGCCTCAGGCTACCTGTTTGTTGCAGAGGGGGCCCGTGCCACCGTTAGACGAACTAGGCATTTGCCTGGGGTGCTGGAATATTTCCTGGTGGGCTCCCCCTGTCTTAGGCCGCAGTGCAAGCCACTCTTGAGCCGCCCCCCTTCAGCACCGGGCCACTCCTCCAGGTGCCCAAGGTGTCCTTCAGTAAGGCAGAGCAGGCACCTTCTTACCTTGATGACAGGTGCCTGCTCACCCTTCATCAAATACCGGTGACCAGGGAATGCAGGTGGTGAGGGGAGGCTGTCGCTTTACGGTCTGGCGCCCTCTGTGATGCGGGGCGAATATAACGTCATTCCGGCCCCGGCATGTACTAAACAGCTTGAGGCGGGAGGTGAGACTTCTGCGACGCAGCTGGACCCCAGGGAGGTGAGTGTTTGACTGTCGGTGAGGTGTGTGTCTGTCAGTGACTCTGTCTGTCTTTCAGTGAGTGTGTGTCTGTCTGTAGTGTGTCTGTCTGTGGGTGTGTGTGTCTAGTCAGTGAGTGTCTATCTGTCAGAGTTTCTGTCTGTCTGTCAGTGAGTTTCTATGTATTGTCGGTAGTGGTGTGTGTATACTGGCGTCGCGTCTCTGCAAAGTGAGTGACATAAGGGGGTGGCAAAAATGGATCTTTGCCTAGGGTGGCAAAATCCTTTACACCTTTCGGTCTGCAGAACATTTTCACTTCCCTTCCCAGCAGCCCCCTGTCAAATCTTACCCGAGTCTCGCGACGTCAGGCGTTGCCCTTGAGGAGTTAGACAGGAGCTGCTGGGAAGTGAGAAGTGAGGTGTGCTGTGAAGTCCCCCCTCTGCAGAGTCATGCAGGGCCGGTGCTTGGATTTTTAGGTACATAGATGCATTTTCCGCCCCCCGAAATCTTCACCTATGTGCCTCTTAACCAGCCCCTCTCCCCTCCCTGACCATTAGTGGTCCCTTCCGTTCCCTGTCCCTTAGTGTTCTTCTCCCCTCCCCCCTTTCCCCCTCCCCCCTTTTTTCCCTGTCTCTTGGTGTTTCTCTCCCATTCCCTCCCTGTCCCTTGGTGCACCCCCCACCCCTTTAGTGGTCACACTTCCTGGTGTGTGCCTCCTACCTCTATTGTTGCATTGCCGGGCGGAGCAGATCCCCTAAAGGAGCTTCAGTTTTCTGTACCCGGACGGACTGACAGGGAGTGCTCTCTCTGTGAGCACCTCCTGTCAGTCTGGCCAGGTACAGGAAACAGAAGCTCCTGTACCGCGCTCTGCTCCACTACACTCTGTACACACTCAATGACAAACACACAGACGTCACTGACAGACATAGACTCATTGATCTGACACACACTCATTCATTGACACTGACAGACCCACACTGATTGACACTCATTGACAGACACACTGATAGTCACACACAGACTCAATGACAAACATACTCTCACTGATTTGACAGACACACACTCATACACTGACAAACACACTCATCATACACTGACAGACACACTCATACACTCACATGCACACACTCATACAATCACTCACAAACACACACTGTCACTCACAGACACACACCGAAGCACAGTCACTCACAGACACACACACACACACACTGTCACTCACAGACACACGCTCAGTCACTCAGACACACACACTCATACAATCACTCACTCACACACACACACTCAGTCACTCAGACACACATGCTGTCACTCACAGACACACATGCTGTCACTCACAGACACACGCTCAGTCACTTAGACACACACACTCATACAATCACTCACACACACACACACACACACGCTGTCACTCACAGACACACACGCTGTCACGCACAGACACACACAGAGACGCACACAGTCATTCATGGACACACACACTGTCACTCACAGACACACACAGACACGCTCAGTCACTCACAGACACACACACTGTCACTCACAGACACACGGTCAGTCACTCACAGACACACACACACTGTCACTCACAGACACACACACACACTGTCACTCACAGACACACACACAAACACACTGTCACTCACAGACACACACACACAGACACACACACTGTCACTCACAGACACACACACACACAGACACACATCACATACATTCACTAATAATTTTATAAATAAACATTTTCCACCCAGCCTCCCTACCTGGAGAGCTGGTGTGGATGCTGGATCAGTCCCTGAGGGCTGGGGCTGCTGAGAGGCGCGCGGCAGTGCTGTGATCAGGTGCGCGAGGGAGCTCTAATCTATATCCTATGCTCCCTCGCGGGCTGCCTACTGATGACGTCATATTCTGGCTCCCGCGGCATCAGTAGGCAGCGCGCGAGGGAGCAGAGGGTGGAGATTAGAGCTCCCTTGCGCGCCTGATCAAAGCAATGCCGCGCGCTGCGCCGGGGGTCAAGATGGTGGCCTGGCAGGAGGGAGAGCTTCCCTCCTGCCGGTCACTGAAATATTGCGCCCCCAGAGCCCGTGCGCCCTAAGGCGGCCGCCTGTGCCGCCTTATGGACGCGCCGGCCCTGAGTCCATGCCACCGGACCATCAGGGAACACAATCTCCCCCCTCCCTGTCGAGGTAAGAAGCAGGAAGGAGGGATTAAAAAAAGTTTAAAAAAAAAAAAAAAAATGTGCCCTCCTCCCCCATTTTACACACATAACATATGGCTTTATGGGAGATGAAGGGAATGCTATCCAATGCCCACTATGTACATACAAGCATTAACTACTCTATTTTTCACCAATTCTAACTAGAAGCAAAAATGGACAAAATGCTAATTTAAAGGAACAAGTTTTATGATTTAAATTCTAACAAGCTACTCGAGAATCAACTATTGTAAGAAGAAAACAAACGTCTGTGCAAACACACCATCTTCGCTCTTCTCAGTAGCCAGTTGCAACTCTAGTCTCCCACCAGCTAAAAACCAAGAACTGCATATTAAAAATAAAATTAAAACTATTACAACATATATAATAATAAAAACTACAGTTTTCATTGTTCACTCTACCTCTGTTGATCTATATCATTGTACTTTTTCATCCTGAACTTTGGAGCCATCAATGTTGAGAAAATCTATGTGGCTATGTGGAGCATATATTTCATTGATAATTAAAGGGACACTCGGGACTTTAATTTTAGCTTGCCCAAAATGCTTTATGTGTGAAGACTGTGTACTCTTTTTAGCAGATTTCAAGAGAAATTTGCACTTTTATAAATTAACCTTGTTACACCCCCCTGGCAGTCAGACAACCAGTTCTGTTACTCCCTGGTTTGGTTAGCTCAGTGGAGCTAAACTCAAGAGGCAGCAATTGCTCAGAGCACCTGCCTTGCAAAGACTTCTAATTGAGCTGCATTGGAAAGGTCTGTGATTGGACAGCCACAGAAAGTCTAGGAGGATTATACTGGGAAGGCTTGCAAAGGCTGCAGAGAAATGCATGTTTTGCAAGCTGTTTTTAGAACTACCCCCAATGACAAAAAAATTCACAATTAAATACATGCATGTTTTCATTGTGGGGTATATCTACTAAACAGTTTTGTTTTGTATTTTGCAGTGGAGTGCCCCTTTAACATAAAGGTTGATGTTTACTTAACAAACCTGAGATAATCCCTTGGGAAACAAGGTTAGAGATGGGTCAGCGCTCAAGGAATTGGTACAGATAAAACAATGGATAATTGGGCAGCACACCAGGGTAGTAAGGCTCCCTCAGAAGGCCTTACAGGTAGATAAAGCAATAGTGTAGAGGGTAGTAGATAGGCGATGTAATGGAGCTCCAGTACTTCAACCAAGTACCTCCGCCAAGTCTGCTTCCTCTTACTTATCAGGGACCTTTGAGCACTTCATATCCAGTCACCGAAGCTTGTCTGGGATCACTGAGGGCCTTTTCCACCCTGGACCAGGCTACTGTATATGTTGCCCTGGACACCCTTTCCATCAGCAGATTATATCCCTTTCCCCAAACACCAGGTGACACATGGTGAAGGTTAACACATCAACTCCTTTACTAGACATAGCACACACATTTTAAGCCCCCAACAGCCTCTTTTACAAAAAATAGGGTGCATGAGGTACTATAGTACAAGGAAGGGTGGGGTCAGACAAAAGCAAGGCCTGATGGGAGATTGAGGAGGGACAAAGCAGCTAGTTTAAACTAGTCTGGCAGTGTCCCTGGGACAACACCCTGCTGGAGAAACAATGGGACAGGAAAAAGGGGGAGGGGGAGAGGCACATACAAGCAATACATTAAACATATCCTGCACCAATAATGGGCACAGGGTGACCAAAACACAAGAGTAAGATGGGGACCTACATATATTATCTATCTTCCATTCTAGTCATGACTGTGACTACTGTCCAGTAGTAGAGTTCAGGAATGTGTTCTGGGGGACTATATGTAGAAGCCAACGAAAATTTAGAATATGGGATAGCCGCTCCGTAAGTTGAAGATGTTCTTACACTCCATATGTGGAAATAAAAGAGACAACTAATGTTGCAGTATATTCAACAATCAGGTGTTACTCTGGTAAAAGTCTTACATGATCCTACTCACGTTTTATAAAGCTAATGGACTAGCTCTAGTATGAAGTGTGTATAGTGGTATAATCCCCACTTATAGGATACGTGAGGTGATGTCTTGTCTGAGGGAAGGTCATATGAAATAAAAAGGAACAGCAATAGTGTTCTCTATTAAAATCAGGAACGCAGAAAATAAAATATAAAGTGGTTACTCACATTTACACAAGCAGGTGTACTGCTCAGTATATAGGAATTAAGTGGTATAATCCACCTAGGATTTTTTGGAGTAATGTCTCACTGGAAATCGATAAAACTCAGAAGCCAGGTAAAATCGGTAAAATAAAATAAAATAAAAAAATATATATATTTTTAAAAAGTAAAATTACAACTCACAGTTAGGAGTCGACCAAAATACCTTTAATAAAATACAATACAGTTTAAAATGTCCACAACACGTTTCGCTAGCAGGCTTGTGGAAATGCAGTGGAAATGCAGAGCTGCATAAGCCTGCCACAACGTCAATGTACCCCACCTTTGGCCGGTCCTACTATAACAACCTAATGTCTGCTCTTATGAGATTAACCAATTTACTTGGGGGAAAAAAATTCCATCTGGGGCTCTCTGCAGTGCAAGGCTAAATAGGGCCCTGGGATGAGGCACCTGTGACAGTAGGACCTGCTGAAGATGGGGTACATTGACATTGTGGCAGGCTTATACAATGTGTTGAGCTATATAAACTAAAAGTGCTCTCGTAGTGCTGTAACTTACATTGCATGGTTATGAGGAGTGTAAATAAAGTTTGTTGTTACTCCTCCTTTTCCTCCTGAAACCGGAAGCAGAAGTTGAGTTAGTTACAATAAAGACACAGAAGCAAGAAGTACCCCCCTCCATTTTATATAAGGTTATTCTTATATACCCGGTTTTCCTACCCTAATAATCAAAATGGCAACAGGTTATGGGCCCAGGAGGGATGCAGGAAACCGATTGAGCAGGCTTTGTTGGAGATGAAAAGAATTATGGGGACATCTAAGGTTGCTGAAACTTAAAGAAACCATCCTGAGTGTGTCTGCAGACGCTGAAGGTGAGGATGAAGATCACAGTAAGAACGAGGAAGCAAATGCTGAATTAATTCAATTTTTAGATAAAGGTTTGTCTCTGATTATGAGAGAAGCAGCTGATGATGGAAGAAAAGCACTTACAATATTAATATTGACATTGTGGCAGGCTTATACATGAGACTTATACATGAGACTATTATGCAGGTAAAGGAAAGCCCCGTATAATTAGTTTATACACTGAACTAACATCTCTTCGGAAGTCTGTAAATGAGAGTGTGACAGACTATATTATACGTGCAGAGACAGCTATTACATCACTGAGAGATGCTGGAGAAACATTAAGTAATGGACTGTTGATTGCAATGATTTTGAAAGGTTTGCTTGAATCATTAAAACTGTTTGCCATCCACATTACACCGGGAGATTGGAGAGTAACTTTGGCACAGTTTAAAAGACAGCTGAGAAGTTTTGAGGACTGCAAGGAAGGGGAGGCATGACTGCTGCCCTGCAGTAAGGGGTGGGAATATAAAAGATACAATGTTGTCTATATAGTGGGATATAAGAGGGAGAGCAGGGGGTGGGACTCACCAGTGCAGAAGGAGCAGTCTGGAACAGTTTCCCGCCCGCCCTCCCCCAAAAAAATTCCCATGCTATGTGATGGTTTGGCTTGTGGTGTTGTTTGTTTCTGTTCTTGTTTTGTCACAGCTATGGCGGAGTTCCTGGCCAGCGCACGTAATGCACGGAAAGGATTTGGGGAGTCACAGCCTGCTAGGGCTGATGGCCGAAGGCAGGCTGTACGAACTCTGGATAAAGACTTGGAGTATCTGTCTGTTGGGTAGTCACCCCAACAGCTGACAGGTGGAAATGCTGGCTGTGTAAAAGTTTAATAAAGCTGTGGCCGTTGCCCTTACCCAACAATCAGGTGTCATGTCGTTATTGGGGGTAACGGTTTTGGTATTTGGGGTCAGCAGTCATGTATTAAAAGTTAGTAACACAAATCCAAGATTTAAAGTGAGAGACAACTCTAACATTATTTGTTACAATTGCGGCCAAAAAGGACATAGGGCCATAGTGTGTTCAAACATTCAAAATAAAGGTCAATCGCTGCGGTGGACCTCAGGGCCAGATTAAGAGCCCAGTGGGCCTGGTGCTGACAATTATGATGGGGCCTAATTACAGAATCTTATCGAGCAAAAACATGTCATGTATCTGATGGAGTTGTTGTTGGTGGGAAACGCAAAGGATGCACTTATAAGAAAACACATACTCTATGCTAATCTCTTCATCTAATTAATGCTTTCATCTTTCAATTAAATCCATACCCCCTAACAGCAGTGTCCAGTGGAGCAGGAAGCCAATGGGCGGGGTAAAAGGGTGGGCCACTGACGTGAATCACATGACCAGAACTGCCAAAAGGGGTGAACATGCCCAAAAAGGGGGCACGTCGGTCCAAAGAATTGGAAGGCCAGCCTGGCATCAGTGTCCCTATGTATCACAGTGTCAGTGTCCCCATGTCACCCAGTCCCCTAGTCTCTCCATGTGTCCCATTTCTCCCAATGTCCCTATGTCTCAGTGTGTCCTGTGTCACTAGGATACTAGGGGACACTAAGACACTTGGGGACACAGACACTGGGAGACATGGGGACACAAACATTTGGGGAAACTAAGACACTAGGGACACTGAGAGAAATGGGAACACAGACACTGGGAGACTAGGGGGCACTGGGAGTCATGGGGGCACTGGCTGGGAGGCTTGGGGAAACTGGAAGACATGGGGGCACTTGTGGACATAGACATGGGGACACAGACATTTGGGGACACTGGGAGACATGGGGACACTGGGAGACATGGGGACACAGACACTGGCTGGGAGACATGGGGACACAGACATTTGGGGACACTGGGAGCCATGGGGAAACTGGGAGCCATGGGGACACTGACACACTAGGGACACTGGGTGGGAGACATGGGGACACTGGGAGACATGTCCTGAGTGTCTCCATGTCCCAATGTGTCTCCCTATGTCTCTCAGCGTCCCCATGTGTCTCAGCATCCCCATGTCTCAGTGTCCCCTAGTGTCTGTGTCCCCATGTGTCTCAGTGTCCCCACATCTCCCAGTGTTCCCTAGTGTCTCAGTGTCCCCATGTGTCCCCTAGTGTCTCAGTGTCCCCATGTCTCCCTGCTGCCTTTCCCCCCATGCCTCACATACCTGAGCTGTAGTCTATCTCTGCAGGCTGGGAGCTGCTGTCTGGAGTCTCTGTGCTGTGTAGCTGCTCCCAGTGTGTAAAGAGAGGCAGGGTGATGCTGTAACTTCCTATCCCTGCCTCTCTCAATATAGAGCCTACTGGCCGGTGCTGGTATTGCAGAGTAATCTCCATTTATATTGAGAAAAATATTTGATTTTGTATTGCCGGTATTACTGCAATACCGTCCTGGCCAGGCAGCCTCAAATAATACCAGTCATTGGGCCTATTCCATGGGCCTGGGCCTGGAGCTGCAGCTCCATCAGCCCCTATGTTAATCCGGCCCTGGTGTAGCTATTGCAAAAGCTCAAGACACAAAGATGCAAATTGCAGACGTAAAAAGAAAGACAATGTCAGACAAGCAACAGATGATGCCGACGACGGACACTCATTTGCTTTTAATACTAGAGATGACCAACTAAATGGGTTAAAACCAAAAGGATTAATGGTTGATACAGGAGCAACATCCCATATAATTACTGCCATTGGAAAGTTTAAGAGCTTTGATGACTCCTTTAAACCGGATAAACATTCCATGGAGCTCGTAGATGGAAAAAAGACAACTGGTGTGGCACTGAGAAGAGGCATTGCAGAGGTTTGTCTACTTAACAGTGAGGGGAACCGAGTGATTATGACACTGAAGAATGCATTGTACATACCTTCATACCCTCAAGAAATCTTCTCTGTAGATTAAGCAACAAACAGTGGAGCATTAGTCGGCTTCCAGCAAGGCAGGAATGAACTCATCCATAAGAACGGTGCCAAATTCACAATTCAGAAGTACAATAGACTTTACTATCTGAATACCTTTGTTGAAAATAATGACAGTTGTCATGGATGTTATGATATTCAAACGTGGCATGAAATCTTAGGTCACTGTAATTATGATGACATTGCAATACTACAAAATGTGGTAGAAGGAATGAAAATTAAGTGCAAGATTTCTAATTCTAATCTTAAAGGAGAACTATAGGGTCAGGAAAACAAACATGTATTCCTAAACCCTATAGGGTTAAAACCACTATCTAGCCCCCTTCGCCCCCTTTGCCTCCCTAAAGAAAGTAAAATCTTACTTGTCATCAAGTCTAAACCTGCTACCTCTGCCTGTGAACTTCCTCTGACCTCTGACATCATCAGAAGTCATGGCCTGATCCAATCATAATGCTTCTCCATAGGATTGGCTGACAAGGAGGCAGATCAGGGGCAGAGCCAGCACAATTCAAACACAGCCCTGGCCAATCAGCATCTCCTCATAGAGATGAATTGAATCAATGAATCTCTTTGAGGAAAGTTCAGTGTCTGCATGCAGAGGGAGGAGATACTGAATGTTTGGGTGCATTTTAGGCAGCCATGACCCAGGAAGGATCTCTAACAGCCATCTGAGGAGTGGCCACTGAAAAGACAGTGTTTACAGCAAAAAGCCTGAAGGTAATGATTCTACTTATCAGAACAAATTCAATAAACTGTAGTTGTTCTGGTGACTATAGTGTCCCTTTAACTGTGAAGTTTTCACTCAGGGAAAATGTGTTCAGAGTAGGAACAGAGAACCTGATACCAGAGCCACAGCTAGATTAGAGCTAGTACACACTGATTTGGCAGGTCCTATAGACCCACACACTAAAGAGGACTTCCGATATATAATAGCATTTACTGATGATTACTGTGGTGCAGTGTTTGTATATTTTCTGAAAAACATGACCGGTGTATAGTCGCCATATGGGCAGTCGGACTCCAGGACAACCCTCCCACATACCCAACCCAATAACTCACTGACACAAAGGTATATGGGAAAATTTGTCCACAGCTTTATTTAACCAATCTTGAATAATGATAATTTATTAAGCAATAATAATTTTAACAATAAACATGGGTCATTGCCCCCATACTCCGCCCTCGTAACCGAATCCTTCTGTTAATATAACAGGCAATGACCCCCATATAAATAACATATATACATATACATATAACATATAACATACGTATCAACATATTCCAACATACCAACTTAAAGTGCCAAACATAAATTAACCATGGCAGGGGTATACCCGGATACCCCTGCCCCACCAGATTCTGAGCCACCGACAGGACTCGGAACCTACCAACCACCAATGACCACAGTTTTACGTCTCCATGACGTTCATCCTAGGGAGCCTATTTCTTCTCCTTCAGCTCCCTATCCCGCCGCTGTGAAAAAACGGGATAACCCAAGTCCGAACCAAATTCAGGGAGGGTGGGCGGGACAAACTCAGCAAGGTAGTAATTAAAAGTGAAGGCTTTAAAATGGCTGCCTATTTAAATAGCCAAGCCTACTTACCCATAACTCCCTACTTCCTTCCCTCCTCCTATGCCCGCCTCCTAACCCCTGTCAAGGCCTTTTTTCGCTTAGCTGCGCTTTGGCTACATGGGGCTACAAGAGTGATGCAGTGTTAGCCACTAAAAGGTTTATTGCTGACACTGCTCTATATGGAGTCATAAAATGTATAAGATCAGACAATGGTACTGAGTTCACAGCAAATAGTGTTAAGTAAGCGAGGCATAAGACATGAAACCTCGGCACCTTACTCACCCCATCAGAATAGGACTGCTGAGAGAAATTGGAGAACGCTATTTGAAATGGCAAGATGTCTGTTAATTGAAAGTAAATAACCAAAAGAATTATGGACATATGCAGTAATGACAGCCACTCATATCAGAAACGGGTGTTTTAACAACCCGTTTAGCACAAACTCCATATTATCTTTTGACAGGGAGAAAGCCTAATCTTTCTAAGATGAGCGTTTTGGGGTCAGAATGTTTTGCATACAGGTATGACAGAAATAACAGAAAGAAACTAGACTCAAAATGTGAGAGAAGGAATTTTATTTATATAAACTAAAGGTGCTCTCATAGTGCTATAACCTATGTTATACATTTAATGGGTAAAAGGGAATGTAAATAAAGTTTATTGTTAATCTTCCTTTTCCTCCTGAAACAGGAAGCAGATGCAGAGTTAGTTACAATAAAGACACAGAACCAAGAAGCACCTGTGTGATTTTTTCCCCTCCGTTTTACATAAGGTTATTCTTATATAACCGGTGATGGCGAACCTTTTTAAGCCCGCGTGTCCAAACCGCAATACATGTCAACTTTTGTTTCCTCTAATTGCCAACACAGCAATTAAACCTGAATACTGAGGTTTACGTTTAGAAAAAACAACTCATACAGTTGTCCGAACTAATTAACACCTTTTGCT